CATTCAAAAATGAGGTTTTCGAAGATGAAATAGTTGAAGCTACCTAACTGCGATGGCGATGCCAGACACACGTGTTGATGTGGCCGCCCCATCTGAATTGATGAGTGTGTTCTGGGACTCCTCTCTCGGGCCGAGGACAGAACGGCCATGGCGGCTGCCTTTTGTTGACGACTCCATGAAGACCTTCTTGAGCAAAATAGCCAGCGGCCAAACGACCGTCGCTCAGCGGAGACTTTGCCTGATGAATAGAGTGGGATGCAAGTCGGAGTCGACGCAAGGCCTTGCAAAGTGCGAGTAAGCGCCGGCCATTCTCAGGCACATCCTTGGTCCCAGTCGGGAGCCCAGCTTCAAGGACGCTTGTTCAAGATCTGCAAGCTTAACACATGTTGGTAGTTGTGCCGGTTGATAACCTGCCAGGTATTTTGCCTACCAAATTCTGCGAGCCAATCACTACTTGCACAGTCTGCTCCCTAAGCGTTGCCTTTGAGCCGTGAGTTGCACTAACATCAAAATGATACTGCAGGTCCCGCGCTTACAATTCGTGTCGCAACCATGAGGCGCTGATGTGATTTAATCATCGTGATTTGAAGCCCGAGAACGTCGTCGTGCACTGCTAAGCGAGAGCCAACCTGATGATCTTGTCCAGTTGTTCCCATTTCTGTGTACGTAGTCTGGCTGAATGGCCAGGAAGAGCAAAAACGGACATTGTTTGAAATAGATCCATATGCAGGAGGGAGGACGAGTTTAGGCAAACATCGAAGGTCAGCCAAACAACAGTGGAGAAACCGCTGGACATCTCGAAAGGCCCGCGACTCAAGCGATTCAATCGTGTGCTTTTCTTTCCAGCCTGCTCGCGTTTGTTCATTTCGTCGACTTCGGCGTTTCCTTGTAAGAGTCTTGTGTGTTGGCAGCTTTGTCGAAGGTCACAAAAGCTCGGTCAACATGGCCGTGTTTTGAATTCGCTGTGCGAGCACAAAAAGGAGCTCATCTTGCTGCTAATCTAGCTCAGCCCTCGTTTAAAACCAGAGCGTGGGCAGTCCCCTTCATTTCCTGCTTTCCGGTCCAGACCTGATGCACCCCAAAGCTTGTTGAGCAGGACCAGTGGAAATGTTGTCCTGCAAGCTCCGTTGTCAATCTCTTCAGATGTCGGCTGACCGTGGGTTCTCGATATGCACATCAACCAAACGCATTCAAACACTGCCTAGGTGAGGCAACCAGGCGGTCACTGACTAGTTTGCCTACTGGTGAGAACCGTACGACGCTGCACCAGCACATCGTGTTCCCTGAGCCGGGGCACACCCTAAACAATATTTACTGCTGACGCCATTCCGTAAGCGCTGCACCAAAGATGCTTCGGCGTTTGGGACATGAGTAGCACAAAGGAGTGGACGAACAGTAGGTCGCATTGTCTACAGCCTTGGCCGATCCATCATCTGGCTAGATCCGTCACTGCGTTGTGGAGAGATGGGCGCTGTCCAGTCGCTTGGTGAGCTAAGAGAGTCTCGTTTGTGCTGCTGCAGCTGTCTTCGTGGGCGGTTGCAGAATCTTGCCTTGGAAGCAGTTCTGAGGTGCGGTTTGTGCTGCGGCGAACGGGAGAAGGACTGACAATTCGCGACGCCGCCGCATGCTTGTAGGCAGGAATGGCGATATGCAGGTGCAACGTCTGCAGAGAGATTACGGCATGCAATCTATACATAAATCTACCGTGTCAGAGCGCTCTTGCCATGTCTTCTGCCGCGCCAGGGCCCAGATGCTGAGGTGCGGAAGCGCCGAATAACAGCTGCGGCAGGCCGAGTCGAGTGAAGGTGTCTCCTTGCATGCGTCTCATCCTTGCGGAGGGCAGCCCAGTCTACCGGACTTGCGCCGCAAGCAAGACAAGACAGTCCAGCTCAAGGACTGGCCCATTCTCTGGATCCTTTTTCATGCCTGTTGGACAAAGATCAGGACTCACACGAAGAGCCCAATGAGGGCAAGGCGAAGGGCAAAGGGAAAAGCAGGGACTCGCAGGCCGATCAGGAGCCGCAGACAGCGAAGGCAAAGGGAAAAGGCAGAAGCAAAGAGGAGCAGGAAGACCCCATCCCACTGCAGGACGCCTTGGGTGAAACCCACAGTATGTCGCACTGCAACGCCTGCTAGTGATGCTGGTGCATCAAAGGAACTTTGCAGCCGTTTCCTCACATTCAGAGCTTGCCCTGCCGGGTTTCTGGCCCTTCCTTGCGAGATCTCGCGAGTTCTTGCTGTGTGGTTCATAGCGCGCATAGCTCTGCAACGATCTTTACAGTTGCAATGCCGTAGCCTGGTAAACTGCGGCAGTTCATGCGGGTCGGCTAGGTCTAGGTCATACGTTTTTGTCTGCCAGGGCCAGGACCTGCAAAGTCAACGAAGAGAGGCGGATTGCCAAACTCATCACGCAGGCGAACCCGTACTGCTCGGACGCGGCTGCTTCGGCAGCGTTTTTCGGGAGAGGATCCAAGGCAAAGACGTCGCTGTTGGAACCTGAGCTGTCTCTTCGCCGCTTCGCATCGTCCGGCCATTTCACACAAAGCTTCGGAGATGTTAATGTCCAGGAAAACATGATGTAAGGTCAAGCGTCTCAAACAAGGGAGCGCCAAAGCAGAGGCAGACCTCCTTCAAGCCTGCCAAGGGGAGTTTGTGGTCGCGTGGCTGGATGTGGGAGAAGAGCAAGCTTTCGCAATGGAGCTATGCCCCCGGATCCTGCCCACCAATGTGCGCGACCTGAAGTTCGCCTCCAAAGCGGCTTTGCAGCTCTTGTTTCTTGGCATCAGGCTCCGGCCAAGGAGCAATGGTCGCTTGCTGTGTTTTCTTGTTCCCGGGCGCCATCAAAAAATTCACCACGCGCCGCCTCCGATCAGCTCCAAGTGAAAAACTATACGCCTGACACAACCAGTATCTACTTATAAGACAAGCAAGCCATTGCAGCACAAATTCAAAGCTGAAAGCGTTTTTGAGCACGGAGCGTGTTGACAAGTAGGGTCTGGCCTGCCTCGACGAATAGGGTCGGGCGAGAAGTAGGGATCGCTTGGACGAGTAGGGTCAGTCGATAGGTGGGGATTCTGAGTTGATCTGAGTTGACTCAGGAAGGCAGTCACGCACATTCATGGTTGTGGAATCATCCATCGCGACATCAAGGTGCCAAACGTGTTGCTGTCATCGGCCGGCACCGTCAAGCTTGCAGACTTCGGGTCGGCTTGCTGGAGCGGCCCACTGCAGCACCACGCCAACTTTTCTGGCACCTTGACCAACCTAGCACCTGAGGCACTGCCTCGTGTGAACATGGATGGTTCCCCTGGTTCCCCACAACCCTACTTAGGCAGGCCCGTTGATATATGGGCCGCCGGGGTGACACCTTTTGAAATGTTGGCGGGTCTGCCCCCCTTTCGTGGCAGCACCTTGACCAAGCTGTTTGCAGCCATCGAAGCCGGTTTGAGCTGGCATCACTGGCGACAGCTAGACACAATGATGGGGTGGCTGCTGCGCGATGTGTTTGTACATGTTTTTCGAACTGCCCCTGAGCTGCGAAGCTCTGCCCGGCAGGCATGCCAAATTCTTGAGGACGTACGGCCTTCTGCATCCCCACCCCTGGGAAAATGCCAGAGAAGGGGCTGAGCGTGGCTTGCCTTGCATGCTTCAAAACAGAACAAAACCCCACCTAGCTTCAGACGGTGTCAGAGTAATTAGTCTATGACAAGTCCATGATTTGCAAGAGTCTGCGAGAGATAAAATGTTAACACAATGAAACGCAAGCTAGGGTAAAGTTGCGTAGGAACACGTACGAGCCTGCTTATAACTCTGCAGGAAGCTACAACGTTGCAGTTGCAGCCCTCGAATTTAACTTGCCTCTACAGGCCCGGCTGACTTTCAGGACCCGTCAGAGTACCAAAACGAAGTTTGTTGTTCCTCGCTTTTGGGCCCTTGAGTTGCTCCCGGAGGTCATCTTGTTGTGCTCTTGGAATGCTCTTGAAGTGGTCTCACACTGTTTGGTGGCCTACGCCAGCATCGTTTTTTTTCTTGGGGGGGGCGGGGGGGGGGAATTCGGTTTCGGCAGAATTTGCTCCTTGTCAATCTGGCTTCCCGCTTGCACGCTGATTTTTGTTGTTAATGAATTATGTTGCCTTTGTGGCGTACGGGATTCTGGCTTTGAATCTTGCTTCTGGATTCTGGGCTTTGCGGCCAATAGCCCCCTTTTCCACTCTGGAAATGTCAGCCCGCAGAGCAGCACGTCATTGTGGTGAGCCTCACCCAATCATCAAACCTTCTTACAGTAGGATGCGCTAAATTGTGGAATGCGTGTCGTTCCTTTCAATATGTGCCGTGCCCCGTGCCCCCGCGCTCCTGGTAGATTGATTTCTTTCCTGAAACGCGCGATGATCTCGGCCACCAACAAGAACGTGTAGGCGGACATCACAACTTAAAATTTAGACAACATTGCCAGACCGTCGCGCTTATCGAGAAGGGCGTGCCGCACGCGGCAGCACTGCCTGAAGACGGTGCAGCCTGCTACTCACATCTTCGGGCTAATTGGAGCTGAGTGCGTAGTTAGCCACAGCTTGACGTATTTTCAGGCAAGAGAGTTCTGCGTGGACCTCTTGCAGCCGGACTTCTTGAGGTTGCGCTGCGAGTCCAGTTTGAAACTATCAAGTGAGAACCCATCTTTGAAGGCTGCAGCTGCGGGAGGCGAAGGCCCACAGGTTCCTTGCCGGTGTCCAGTGGGACAGCCTTCGGCAGGGCAACCTTGTGGCGCCCTTTGTCCCCCAGGCAGGATCTCTGCTGACGCGCTGCGAAGCATGCGAGCCACCGTCCGTGTGAAGCATGGCTTGCTCCGCTCACCAAGGCTCTTGCGCCAAGCCCAGCCTGAAAGCCACCGCGCGCAGAACAAAACCCAGTCAGCCGCGGATGTTTTTGGCAATGGGTGCTCTGGTGGCAGAGTCAGCCATGAGTGCTGTGGCGAACGGACGCATCGATGTTATCGTTTGTCGGCCATGGATGCTCTGGTAATGGATTCACCGGTGGCATTGGACGTTATACGATCTGAAAGCATGTGTGCAGTGAACGCTAACGGCCAAAATGGGACCGGGAACCGCGAACCCGAGCGCATTTTCTCACAGCTTCATATGCTGGGCCTGAGAGTTGGAGAAAGGGATGCGCGCACCTTGGATTTAGCAGGCGAGCCCACAGCAGCTCAGCAGCAGCGTGCGGCCCCCCGCTGCATGCCCTGCAGCTGGCAACGCTTCCTGGACTGCGCCCTTCTCGCACAGGGCGGAGGCACACTGCTCGCTTACGATCATACAGGTTTATAGATGACAGTGAGCCAGCTTCGAGCGCAGGCAACCAAGACTGCGAATTTTAGCGTTCATCCGTTGCCCTTATGCGGGAGTCTCTTGCAAACACCTATCCCATACGACTGCTTTTCTAGATCTTTGCAGATCAAAAATAGTCGAATTTCCTTTTCTTGAAAGATTGAAGTCCAAACTTTGCTTGTTGATGATGAAATATAATTGTTCTCTTTCTCTAAATACTGAAATTTTTATTTTGTCTGATCATGATGGAATTCTAGGTTTCAAGAACATGCAAAATCCTTTCAGGATTTGCAATCAGTTCTATTGAATTCTAATTCGTTTTCCTAGTTTCCCGATGTGACAATTGGATGTCTCCTTTTGAAATATCAGAGTAATTACTGGCAAACCAGTTTTCGGTTTCTCCTTTGGAATTACCAGGTTTTCGACGATCCCCAGAATAGATCGTAAAACAAAAGGAAGCGGGTCCAATTTGAGCCTATTGGTATAGAGGTCCAAATTTTGGTCGAATTGGAATCTGACTATATGAGAGATTGAAATCAAAATCAACCTTTGGAAATATGAGCTTCTCGAAGATTCATGAAGTGTTTGCCGCCCAGCGATAGTCGAAATTCCTTTTCCTTAGATGTTGAAACCCTATTTTTGTCAGATGATGACGACACATTATGTTTTCTAAAGAATACAGAATCTTTTTAGATTTTGTTTATTGAATTCTGGTTCCTTTCCTAATTGCCCAATTTGATAATTTGGACTGCTCGTCTCGAAATATGAGGGATTCCAAGGTTCCCCCGAATCATTGACAGAAATACCCCAGAATGAATTGCAAACCAAAAGGGAATCGGATCCAATTTTAGTTCTATATCATGGTGAAGTTTTGAGGTTTAGAGTCCAAAGTTTGTCCGACCATGATGAAACTTGAGATTTAGAATCCCAATTTAGTAGACTTGAAATCTTCATATCCGGCAACGTCTCGATTCTCATCCAGCCATGGGATGATTTTTGTTGTCGTTTTGATCATTTTGAAGCCCAAATCACTCCCGACGCCAGTATTCTCGAGAATCATCGAGCCATAATTTTCAAGTTTGAAAACTTAAATCTTCAACGTTTCTTTTCCCCAGCCATGGGTTTCAGAATCACAAAGCTCTGGCAGGGAAACTTTCGTAGGAAAAAACCCTAGAACAAAAACGTGTTTAGGGCTAGGGTTTAGGGTGTCGGGTTTAGGGTTTATCTTTTGGGTTTCGGGTCGTTGGTTCCCTAAGCCGTGAACCCCTACTCGCTTGCTGGGGGGAGCCCCCTCTGAGACGAGGCGCCTCTTCAACCACCACATCCGAACGCTCGATCGCAAGATCGGGCCGGGCTTGACGAAGCCTCGCGGCCTGATCACCCGAAAGCTCCCAAGCTCTACGGGTTAGTAGTAACTTAGCAGGGTTTAGGATTTCGGGGCCTCTTGCCTTCAACCCCCAAGCTCTGAAGTTTAGGTAGATTTTCGGGATGTTTAGGGATTTGGGGTTTGGGTTTACGCAGGATTCCAAGCCCCTGCAGGGAACCCAGCTTAAGGTTTTTTTTTGTTTAGGGTTTTAGGGTTAGTGCTTTAGTTAGTGCTTTAGTTAGTGCTTTAGTGCTTTAGTGCTTTAGTGCTTCAGTGCTTCAGCGCTTCAGTGCTTCAGTGCTTTAGTGCTATAAGGCCCGATGAGCACCAGTATCTTGTTCAGTCCCGTATTCCGTGGGGGGGGGGGGGGGGGGGTGGTTTGTGGGTAGGGGGAAGCACGAAACACTAAACCCTAAACCCTACACCCTATAACCTCGCCGACCCCTCGACTCCATCAATCCCATAAACTCTGTCCGGTACCCCCCCTCCCCCACAAAGAGCCACAAAGCTCGCGAGGTTTGGGGTTTTACGTGTTGTTTTGTTTTCTGTGGGTGGGGGGGGGGGGGGGGGGGGGGGGGGGGGGGGTGGGGTTGGGGTGAGGTTTATGTGCGGGTTTGTTTAGGGCTTCTTTTTGTTACGGGCTAGCATTAGGGCTTTTCGAGGGTGTTTACAGGGGCCTCACCCAGCCCCAAACCTACCCAGCCCCAAACCTCTAAATCCTGAAGCCCTAAACCCTAAACCCCTAAACCCCTAAACCCCTAAACCCCTAAACCCCTAAACCCCTAAACCCCTAAACCCCTAAGCGCTAAACCCTAAACCCTACACCCTTATCCGAGGTTCAACTGGACATCCGACGGCATCAAGGAGTTCTTCGTGCGAGACAGCTGCAAGGCGACGCACGGAACTCCCCGTTCCTGGATTGGGTTTAGGGTTTAGGGTTTAGGGTTTAGGGTTTAGGGTTTAGGGTTTAGGGTTTAGGGTTTAGGGTTTAGGGTTTAGGGTTTAGGGTTTAGGGTTTAATCCCCGCAATATTATTTCTTGCAGGGTTTGGCTTTTGGGTTTTGAGTTTAGGGTACACTCTGAACCCGAAACCTTCACTGGCGAATCACCGAACCCGAACCCGCAACCCTATCGGGCGTTGTTCTCGAAGAAAACGGACCCCTTTAGTGGTAACGTTTACCTTTCAGGTCTCGGGCCCAAAAGATTCAATCTCTAAACCCTAACACGCTAAGCCAAACCCATCTCGAATCCATTCGAATCTCCAAACACCAAACCCCAGACCCCAGACCCCAGACCCCAGACCCCAAACCCCAAGCCCGAAGCCCGAAGCCTGAGCCCCGAAGCCCGAAGCGCGAAGCCCGAAGCCCGAAGCCCGAAGCCCGAAACCCTAACCCGAAACCCAAGCCCTAAACCCCCGAGCCACGAGGAGTGTGCCAAAGTCTACGACTGGGTGAAGCAGTTTAAGCGGAATAACGCCGAGATCTTGCAGGTTCAGCTCAGCTTTGGGACAGGTTGGAATGCTGGTGCGGAAGCCCTCAACTCGAAACCCCAAAGTGAACCCCCACCCATGACACCCTTCGTCTAGATCTGAAACCCCTTAAACCCTAAACCTTAAACCCTAAACCCTAAACCCTCACTGTGCTCCAAGCCCCAAGCCCTAGACCCGGAGATGCAGCTGTGAAAGTGCATGGAGGCTTCAACACAGCAGCAGAAGCTTTGAGTGGACCTAACCATGGGGCGTTGCTCTGGGGTTTGGGGTTGGGGGTGAAAGGGCCCGCTCAGAAACCTCATTGTGCATGCATCATTACAAGGCAATCTTAATTTTTGATTTTGGATTTAACCCTAAACCCTAAACCCTAAACCCTAAACCCTAAACCCTAAACCCTAAACCCTAAACCCCCCCCCCCCCCCCTGCCTCGGTCTTTTTCAAGGGGCTCAAGGGACCGAGACATCGAATTGGAGTGTGAGTTGCCGATGATGATCCCTAAACCCTAAACCCTAAACCCTAAACCCTAAACCCTAAACCCCCCAAGACCCTGCCTTTCCCTACACCCTAAGCCCTTGATCGCCGGAGGAGAGAGTGTGTGTTCCTTGCATTGCTTTGGCCCTGCTGTCAGTCCCGCAAAATAGCACCAAGATAGCCCGAGTTCTTGCGAGTTGTATGCAAGGCTTTTGTCTCAACATAGTGGCTTCTGCCTTCAGGAAGCAGCCCAAAATCCCAAGCCCAAAGCCCTGTCCTAAACCCTCACATTGCAACTCCCTGGGCTTGCTTTCTCTGCAGGTCTGCAAGAAGCTGTCTGAGCTTCACATGATCAAGATCGAGAAGAAGACCGTGCACCGCGACGATGAGTTCCGCGACGTCCAGGCAAACACCGCCCTCAAACTTAAACCCGCGACACCAGATATGGGGCTCGATCTTCACTTCCGAAGAAGTCTCCATTTTCGCATAATTTACATTTTCTACTACGATGGGTTTAGGGTTTAGGGTTTAGGGTGTAGGGTTTAGGGTCCCTAAGGGTTTAGGGGCAAGGCTTCAGGGCAAGGCTTCAGGGCTTCGGGCTTTGCGGCGGTGGGGCCTTGAAGCACCCGATGCCTCCAATCCCTCCAAATCCCTCTACCGCAACCTCAAAAGAATAGGTTGAAGGTCCATGTACCTTATTCTTGCTTACCTGGGCCCCCAAAGTCCTTAATACAGGAAGCACTCTTCCAGGCCTAAGTATTCCCTATGTCGGAGGGTACGACACCCTTAAACGCGAAAAGAAGCCCTCCCCCAAGCTCCACAGGAGAGACGCCGACTCGAAGTAAAGGAAGAATTCAGCCAGGTGGCCTGCAGTTTCGGGTCTTGGGGCTTTAGAGGTTTAGGGTTTAGGGTTTAGGGTTTAGGGTTCAGGGTTCAGGGTTCAGGGTTTAGGGTTTAGGGTTTAGGGTTTAGGGTTTAGGGCTAGGGTTTAGGGCTTAAGGTTTAGGGCAGGGTCTTCGGGGTTTTGGTATTCATGGTATGTAGGGCTTGAAGATTTTAGCGTATTAGAATTCAGTATTTAGGAGCGGTTTTCGGGACGTAGGCTTTTTAGGCGTTTCGAGGATGTCCATTAGCGAGTGGATTGTGATCTCGCTTTTTTAAGCTGTTGTCCCGCAATGCGGCCCCCTGTTCCCCTGTCCTCTATTGGGGTACTGCCTAACTCAGAGACCGGACCTTCGGGTTGTGGGTTTAGGGTTTCGGGTATGTTCTTGCCCTGCAGAAGGTCCCCAAAAGCCTGCTTCTGCTTCTTCCCTGTCTTTTTTCTGCGAGAAGAGCTGTCCAGAGAAGCGTATACACCTTTTCAATAGGGACATGTTTCACAAGTGTACACATTAAGACCTTTTAGGCCTCAGCTTTGGGATCTGAATTGTGATGTGGGTACCTTATATCCTCCAACCCCGTACAGGATTACAAAGGGGGGAGCCATTGCGAAAAAAGATCGACGTGTCTGCTTGAGAGACCATGGCTGCAAGATTTGCCACCGGGTCCTACCCCCCCACACACTCACACCTCCCCCCCCCCCCCACGCCATTTCCTCGAACCCCTCTCTGTCCCAAACCAGCATTATCGGGTTCTTAAGGGAGGGGGGTTCAAGGGGGTAGATACCTAGGGAACCTTAGGCAAGCTTAGGGAGCCTTAGGGAGTAGTGGGGAGTGTTAGGGAACCTTGGGTTACATACCCCATACACCCTCTTGAACCCCCTCCCGCCCAAGAACCCTATAGAAACGTCCAGCCTGGAGGCCTTTCAGAAGATTACGAACCTCATGCTGAACTCCTACACCTTCTTCGAGACGCCTGGCTTGCAAGGGCAAGGGCAAGGCACTCGTCTAGGGATGAAGAACAAAATCGCGAAACGACCTAAGTATCTGCAGGTGCTGTACCCTATCAGCCTTGAACCCCCACCACAATTCTATTCTAGTCATTCTAGTCGGGCTTTCGGGGTATCAACTGAAGGCTCAAAACCCACACACTGCTACCTTGAACCCTAATGACACCCTGAACTCTGAGCCCTAAACCCTAAAGCCTAGACCCTAAACCCTAAACCCAGGCTGGGGGTGGCCCCGGTGAAACGTTGAGGCAGTAGCTTGCAGAGAGTCTAGGGTTTAGGGTTCAGGGTTTGGGGTTTAGCGCAGCGGACACCTCGGCGGTTGGGGTTGGGGTTGGGCTAGGGTTTGGGGTTCAGGAGCCCGTAGCCCTTGCAGGGTTCCATCGTTCAAGGAGCCATCCCCACGACATCCAGCGTGAGTGGAAGATCTACATCGACAAGGCTCTCCCCAGCACCCCCGAAAACTTGCACGCTGAGGAAAGCCCTGAACTTCCTGAACCCGTTTAGGGTTAGGGTTTAGGGTTTAGGGTTTAGGTTTAGGGTGTAGGGTTTAATTAGGGTTCAGGGTTTAGGGTTTAGGGTTGAGTCCGAAACCCTAAACCAAAAACCCTGGTAGCTAAGCAGCACAAAAAGATTCCTCGAGCCTGGTGGTCCCGAGCCAAGCCTCAAGCCACCGAAGAGCCCTTCCCCAGGAATGTCCAGCAGTTCTGTTCCGAAACTTGTTTGGGTCTTTTGGGGCTTGGGGCTCAGGGTTTAGGGTTGAGGGTTGAGGGTTTAGGGTTTAGGTTTGAGGGTTTAGGGTTTAGGGTTTAGTGTCTAGTGTTTTAGGGTTAACCCCTCGAACTTTCAGAGCCCGAAACATGCGGAGAGCACCCGTTTTGTGCCTTGTGAGGTCGACAAGAAAATCGAGGAGGCCTTGAAGAAGGCGCAAAGTTTACGGTTTAGGGTTTACGGTTTGAATCGGTTTTCTGTCGCAGGGTTTAGGGTTTCGGCTTCCGAGGTCAGCGCTTAGGAGCGGAGCTCAGAGACAACAGGATCATGAATCAGACGCACCCAGCCCTGAATCCTAGAAGCCCCAAGTCCTAAACCCCAAGCCCTAATCCGTCGATGTTCCAGGCTGTCAAGACGAGCTTGCAGGATCTGTGCAAGGCTCTGAACGGCCGCTGGGATGGGTTTGCGGCTTCTAGGGAGCTCAATACCCCTTGATTTTAAGGATGCGTCCCTGAAACATGTCTATAGGGAGGGCAGAGCTTTCAGGTTTCTCTCTCACTGAGTACATGAAGGGCTCAGGGAACTTCGAACTGGTTATACTGCGAGAAGTGTTTTTTTTTCCACAGTTGGCTTACTGCAATCATGCCAGATCGTGAATCCTAAATCCAAGGCCTTCAACTGAAAAAAAAAAAAGAAGAACAAAAAACAAGTCAAACTTGAAATGGCTCTTCTTGTGCATGAATACCTTGCGGCCCAAGCGCTTCCTCGCTGACTAGTCTCAACGATGATGGTCCCTTTCAGCCAAAAGCGGGCGGGGGCCAGATGGCGGGGGAGCACGAACAAGTGGGACAGAAGAGCAGACCATGGCCGGAAACGATATGAAGCAGGGTTTATATGGGTTTAAGGTGTAAGGTTTTAAGACCTTGGGCATATATACTTAGCCCTGTTTTTCACGAAGCCGGGATACTTCCAGGACCAGAGTAAGCTGAGCCCTCAGCCCTACGCCCTTAGCCCTCAACTCCCGAACCTTCAGCCTTAAGCCCTGAACCCTAAAACCCTAAACCCAAGCCCTAAAACCCTAAAACCCTTAACCCGAGTTACAAGCCCTAAACCTTAAGCCCTGAATTCCTAAACCCGAACCCTAAACCCAAACCCTAAACCCCCCAACCCTAAAACTTGAGGCGACTCGAAGACAGAGCCCTCGCCACTCTTCAAGATCCAGGCGGTCTTGGACGTTTCTGGGCTGCAAGGGTTTAGGGTTTAGGTAACCCTAAAGTTTCAGCCTCAGCCATTTAAGAACCTTAAGCCAAAATCACGTGCTGAAAATGAGCCAATATGCCAAATCAAGGAAGTCAAGATGGACTTCAAGCCACCGATGGCTCAGCTGAAGGCCCGCAGAAGGTTTGAAGCAGGGGAGGGGGGGCCAGGCATTTAGGGGTTTAGGGGTTTATTGTTTAGGGTTAAGGGCTTAGGGTTTAGAGTTTAGGAGCTTAGGGGAACAGGGGTTTAGAGTTTTGGGCTAAGTTGGTACGCATCTGTGCCAGGTGTTGCTACTAATTCATGAGCTCCATCTGGTTGGCGCAGGACCAGTTCATTCCACCTACGTGCTGGGTTAGGTAACCAGTTTGCCTTTTCTGGAGTTACGTACCCAAAGGCTCGCTATGTTCGAGTAAACTCAAGTGTAGTCTCATGAGGAGAGGCAACATGGGCTCTGAACCCTGCGACCCAAAGCTTAGACCTAAAACCCTGCTTTTTCGACTTCAGCTCTGTCTGCTTCCCAAGCTCTGCGGACTTTTTCTTACAGAGCCGCGAGGCCTCAAACAAACATGGCTCAGCTCCCGCGTGACAGTCTGAGAACTCGGCCGCTGAGCCACACCCGAAAGGTTCTTCCAAGGCTCCCCAACCCCTGCCTCCACTCATGGAACTACAAAGCCCTAAACCACAAACCCCAAACCCTCAATCTCTCCCCACGTCCTGTCCGACCCCCCCCCCCCGGTCCCCCCCCAGTCCCCCAAACACAGAGCCCCGAAAGCCCTGTAAAGCCCCCTAAAACTCACATCCTTGAACTCTAAACCCTAACGTAAGTCTGAGCGGAATCCCTGGCTTTAGCAGGACTTGCTGCAGATGGTCTGCCGCACCTTGTTCCTTCAATAGCACAGGAGGGACCTTCTACCTTATCGACGACCCAGAGTAGGCCCTCATTCCTTTTTTTCTGGTTTAGGTTCCCTTCTAATCCACTTTAAACCAAAAAGGCTCTTTTTTATACCTAGGTCTCTCTTGGGTCTGGGAGTGTAGGGTTAGGGTTTTGGCCTTTAAGGCGTGGGGTCTTAAACCCTATAAGCCCCAAAAGCCCCAAACCCCGGACCTTGGGATGTTCCCCCCTATACTAACAGCCCTTAACAGGCATCATACTAGGGGGTACTATAATCCCTAGTAAGGACTGTTCGTATAAGGGGGAACATCCCGACCCTACCTCTATGAAAAAGAGGAAGCCCTGCCAACTTCCAACGCCCATGGCCCTAGACCGTTTTAAGAACAGCATCATGTACCAGGACCCCCCGCCCCCCTCCCTCTAACCTGCCTCTAAACCCTAAACCCGATCAACTATGGGCGAGTTCACGAAAACAAGGGGCCCCCAATTTAGCCCCAAATAGTTCGGCTGCCCTTGTAATAAGGACCCCAATAATAATAAGGTACCCCCAATTTCGGAAACCCCCATTTGAAGCCAAGATGCCAAGGCCATTTACGCCCACCCCCAAAACCCCCTAAACTGGCGCGCCGCCGTCTGAATCCCAAACCATAAGCCCCCAAACTTAACGCCAAGCCTTAATCAACTGCACCCCTTGCCCTCCCAAATGAAGGTTTAGGGTTTAGGGCAGGGCTTAGGGATGAAGGGCTTTCTCGGGGTTTGCCTGGGTGTGTTTAGTTGCTGCATAGGGTGGTATTAAGGTTCCCTTCTAGGTTGGATGCCCTTGTTGACAGGGATCCGAAGCATGGGGCCTTATTGTGTAGAGTGAGTGTAGTGTATAGAAGGGTCATATACCAAGGGCCCCAAGTTAAGGGCCCACAGTTGCACCCCTAGATCCCTGATTAATCCAAGGAGACATGACGATGACGCTGTCCGTGGTTCCCAGGCCGTCATCTTGCGTGGGTAGCCCCCACCCTAAACCCTAAACCCTAAACCCTAAACCCTAAACCCTAAACCCTAAACCCTAAACCCTAAACCCTAAACCCTAAACCCTAAACCCTAAACCCAGAGAACTACCCACATGCCTGGGCGGGCCATCCATTGGGAAAGTTTCCGGCGTCCCTTCTTGTATCTGAGATGATCTTGTTATGGTGGAATCTTGTCCGGGTTTTTTTAAAGCTTAAGGGGTCAAGCTGCAAGATAGTTTGAAATTGCTCAGGGTTTAGGGTTTAGGGTTTAGGGTTTAGGGCTTAGGGTTTAGGGTTTAGGGGTTAGGGTTTGCTTGAAAAGACAACGCAAATACACGCGGACTGAGGCCTTTGGCGGTGTAGGGTGTAGAGTCTGTAGGAGTCTGGGCTCAGTCCCCAACCCGACGTCACATCTGAAATGCACTGGGATTTATACAGGCTCTGGGGCTTGCGCTTATGGGAGAGTAGGTTTAGGGTTTAGGGTTTAGGGTTTAGGGTTTAGGGTTTAGGGTTTAGGGTTTAGGGTTTAGGGTTTAGGGTTTAGGGTTTAGGGTTTAGGGTTTAGGCTTGGTTGAGGGTTTAGGGTTGTTCACAGGGCACAAGCCCTTGAGGTGATGCATCCTGAACGCCCCTCCACCCTTATCCGAAGCCCACTTACTTAACCCTGGGCCGAAACCCAAACTCCTAAACCCCAAGCCCCAAACCCTGCACCCAATTCTAGACCCTCCTGAACCCAAACCCTAAACTCCAAACCCCAAACCCTAAACCCCAAACCCTAAACCCTAAACCCAAAGCCCCCAGCCACGGGAGGCTCGCAGAGCACCTCTATGCCGTCAAGGTCGAGCGCGATCGGCGACTGCGTTGCAATTACTAAACCCTAAACCCTAAACCCTAAACCCTAAACCCTAAACCCTAAACCCCATACCCTAAACCCTAAACCCTAAACCCCAAACCCTAAACCCTAAACACTAAACCCTAAACCCCCCAAACCGAACCCGAGGGTGAAGAAGCAGCAGCTTGAAGAAGCCGGTGACCTCGCGGGTGCCAACGCCATACCACCGCCAGGCGGAAAGGTTTGGGGTTTAGGATTTAGGGTTTAGGGTTTAGGGTTTAGGGTTTAGGGTTTAGGGTTTGTTTAGGGTTTAGCGTTTCGTGTTTAGGGTATAGGGTTTACAGGGTTTATAGGGTTTGCAGGGTTTACAGGGTTTGCAGGGTTTATGGTGTTTATGTGGTTTATAGGGCTTATATGGTTTTAGTTTTTGTTGTTGAGGTTTTAGGTTTTACAGGGTTTGTAGGGTGTAGGACTACCACAAAGAAATCCTGAGACCCCGAAACCATTCAACCACCAAACGCCTGCTAAGAAAGACCATTAACTCCCCCCTTACCCCTAAGAAGTATCCGCACCCTGACGGCGAAACCAAACCTTGAAGTTCACCCTTGTACTAGCAGTCCTTAATCGGGATTAAAGCACCCCTATGTTCATCCCTATTGAAGACTGTTGGTATAAGGGGGAACATCCCAAACCAAACCCTAAAATCCCCCCTGCAAAAGCCCTAAAGAATTCGGACATCCGGGCCCTTGGGATCTTTCATATTTGCTCTGATTGGGTTTCGGTGGAACAGACTTAGGAATATTTTGCAGAGTTTTAAGCCCGGCCTAAGAAACGAAGCCACCACCCCAGAAAACAAGCAAAAACTCTGAACTCTCTGGGCCCGAATTGAGGGTTTACAGGGCTTGTGAGGTTGTCCGGTTCATCACGTAGGGTTCTTTAGGTGTTTCAAAACTTAGAGGCAACAGGCTTCGCGGGTACTTCGTGCTCTTGGGGTTTAGGGATTTGGGTTTAGGGATTGAAAAAATGAGCACAACATCCACAAGCTGTTGGCTGAGAAAGTCTCAGATTCAGGGCTTCAGTTTGTGAAGTCTGGGTGGTTTATTACTCCTTTAAGTCTTCTGTTGGGTTTTCCAACCCTAAACCCTACAGGGTCCCCTGGTCTGGCCTACGGGGTTTCGTCAATCGCAGGGCTTCGTGGCACATTGAGACCCTCCCGTCGGGTCTGCGCTGTCTGATCAGTACTTCCCTCATATTACCCAAAACTAGGGCTCAGGGTGGGTTTAGGAGCTAAGTCTAGGTTTTAGGGGTAGACACCCTATAAACCACGCAAACCATATGCCCTGTAATGCCATGAAACCCCAAGCCCTCTCTCATGCTGCAGCAGGCGAGCCCCCAAAGAAGAAGAAGGGCTTCTTCGAGGCTATCTCAGAGGGATCTGTATCTCAGGGGGCTCTTTAGGTGTTTGGGGCTTAGGGTTCCTAGAATCCACTTGTTGAAACCCACAGGCTCCGTATTGTGAGCCTAGGAAGCCATGCGCTCCTGAACCCTAGACCCTAAACCCCCTAAGCCCTATCAGCCCTAAACCCTAAACCGTTCAGGGAGACCCCAGACGTCTCCTTTGCAAGAGGGTCCTTGGAGCGTTAGATGGTAGATATCCTAAACCCTGAACCCTAAACCCCAACCCAGAAGCCTGCACACCCGAAGCCACCGACCGGATTTAGGGGGGTCACGACATCCAGGATGAAGTTGGAAGCCCCAAGGCCCTAAGATTGAGGGTTTAGGGTTTTAGGCCTTTAGGGTTTTAGGGGTTTAGGGCTTTAGGAGTTTACAGGTTTAGGGGTTTAGGGGTTTACTGCACCCCTATGAACCCTTAAGCCCAAGGCCCTAAGATTGCAGGGTTTGCTAAACTACTCCCTAAGGCTCCCTAAGCTTCCCTAACGTTTCCCAGGTACCTACCCCCCCCCCCTTCCTTCGGATTCGGCCCTCACCCTAAACACTAGCGACGTTTGAGGGTTTAGGGTTTAGGGTTTAAGGCTTAAATTAAACAGCCTAAGTTGCTTGCGAAGTATCTGAATTTAAACCCTAAACCCTAAACCCTGAAACCTGTGACCCTAAACCCTCGATCCGCACTCCTGGCTGCAGGAAATCTCCAAGGATGAGGACGGACGGGAGCCAATGGATTCCTAGGGCGCCCAGCAGTGCCCTAAACCCTAAACCCTAAACCCCTAAACCCTTAATCCCCTAAACCCTTAATCCCTTAGACCCTTAAACCCTTAAATCCTCAAACCCTTAAACCCTTAAACCCTTAAACCCCAAACCCTATACCCTAAACCCGAAACCCTACACCTACCCTTCCGTATTCCTATTTTTAGGGTCCGGTTGCCTTGATCAGATGCATTACACCCATACCCTAAACCCAGCCAAAAACATCTAAAACCCATAAGCCCTTGTAAGGGTTTATAAGGGCTAGGGTTAGTAGGGTTTAGTAGTGTGATGTACAACCTGAAGCAAACAGGATTGCTGTATCAAGTACGTCAAGGAGGCGGCCTGGCTCAACGTGGGGACTCTTTTGGGTATGAGGGTTCCGGTTTAGGGTTCAGGGTTTAGGGTTTGGGGTTTAGGGTTCAGGGTTTGGGGTTTGGAGGCTTTCGCCGTGCCTTCGGCGTCCGGATGAGTCCTGACTTTCCGGGCTTGGGAGTTAAACCCTAAACCCTAAACCCTAAACCCTAAACCCTAAATTAAACCCTAAACAGGCTTAAGCGGTAGGAGGACCTCGGGGAGGGGCTGGGGAGGGGATTTGTGGCCTTGAACGATGAAGAACAGGAGGTCCCAGAATAATTTTTACGGGGTTCATGGGTACGGGGCAACACTGAGTGGCACGTGTAGGTCTGGGCCCCAATGCCTGCAGGCCCAGGGATCTTACGTAGTAAGTAGGTGTTAGGATAGGTTTGGTTGAAATTTCGTAAGGCGGGAGAAGCGGTCACAGAAGTACTGTACCCGAAGCTGGGGCTATCCGAAATATTCACAAATCTTGCAGCCTGCTTGAACCGCTAAGCAACCATTCTAAACCCAAAACCCTAACACACCCGAAACCCTAACCCTGAACCCTTAACCCTAAAACCCAAAAACTCCCTACAACCCTAAGCCCCAGACATCAGGTGCTGCGCGGCTTCAACCACTGCGCCATGCGCCTGGGCGAGCGCTTAAAGTTCTGGAGCCTCGGCCGCGATTGAGTCGTGTATTGTGAGGGAGGTTAGGGTTTTAGGTTCAGGGCTAAGGGCTTAGGGTTTAGGGTCTAGGGTTTAGGGTTTCGGGTTTAGGTTTTAGGGAGGGTTGAGGGCTTTAGGGTTTGGGCGGGTTTGCTGCCTGAATGTCCAGGCTTAAGTGTTCCATACAGCCTCGGGTATTCGCCAGCTGCCTGAACCCGAAGCCCTGGCGCTTGCTGGAGGGCTTAACGTGCGAGGGCTTGGGCTACCCATGATGGGACGCTAAATTCGAGCAGCCCCAAGCCCACCCCCAACCCCCAAACCCCCAACCCCAAAACCCCCAAACCCCCAAACCCCCAAACCCTAGACCCCACACAACCCCAAACCCTAAGCCCCAAATCCGAAACCCAGAACCCCAACCCCCCCCCCCCCCCCCCCCCCCCCCCCCCCCGGCACACAGGATGGTAGGAGCGAGCTGAGCTTTGCTGCAAGTTTTGGGTTCATGGTCTTTGAACTTCTGGGTTTCTAGGGTCTTAAGGGTTAAGGGTTTCCAGCGTCTCCAGAAATTCCAGGGTTCTAGGGTTTTGCAGGGTTTCTAGGATAACTAGGGTTTTTAGGGTTTGTGGGGTTTCCAGGGTTTAGGGTTCACGGCTCAGGAACAGCTCCTACCAGCCCATCGTGTCGCAGGACAAGGACACCTTCATCCGGCGGTACAAGAAGACCGCCGCACGACTAGTTCTGTCACGCTCCTTGAACCCGAACACCCCCAACCCTAGACCCTACAGAAGGAGGGGTAGCTGCGAGGCTGGTGGGGGTCTTGCTTGTGGTTTCTCGGTTTTGAGGACACCCCCCTCCTCCCCTAAACCCTACCCCAAACCCCCCCCCCCCCCGGCACCTGAAGCCTGAACAGTAAACCCTAAGCCCAAACTTGAGCTTTCCCGAGGGGTCTAAGTCCCACCTTGTTCATTCGCAGGTTACTCTTGGGTCTAGTAAGCCAGCCCCTAAACCGGATTTCATCCTAAGGAACGCTCCTTGACCATCGTGGGTCAAGACATTCAGCGGTCCCCTGGATGCCGAGCTGGATCCTAACCACTATCTGACATCGCCCCTTATAAACTGGATACACGTTAGGCATCCTTTTTGCATTTGGCTCTTTGCGATTTCGGGCTTAGGCCTTAGAGTTTCGGGTTTGGGGCTTAGTAACTTGTTAGTTGTGTATGCCAAAGAAGCAGGTAGTTACGCTGTCAAAGAGCCAAGCAAGCTCCCAAAACTCTGCACCTCACTGCAGCACTCTGGCTCACTCTGCCTCTTTTCTCCACTGTGCAGGGGTTACTCCACCCTTTGCTCTCGGTCCGATACACTAAACACCTGGGCCCCTATGACTGTAAGCCCCAAATCCCTATAAACCGCTGAGCCTAAACCCCTGCATAAATCCTGAACCCCTAAACCCTAAAACCTAAACCCTAAAACCCTGAACCCCTAAACCGAAGCACCAAACGGCGTGCTCGTGTAAGCAGGTACAAAGATGTCCAGACAGACATCCAGCAGGAAGAGCCCAAGGCAGGTTTTGGGGTTTTGGGGTTTGTGTTTAGGGTTTAGGGTTTAGGGGTTTGGGTTAGGGTTTAGGGGATAATTATTATAAAGACCCAAAAGTGAACCTTTCTCCCTTGACTAACTTAAGAAGCCCGAAGTAGGGCTCGGGGATTGAGGGTCGATGTAGGTTTGGGGGGGGGGGGGGTGGAGGGGGTGGGGAGGGTGGTGGGGTGGGGGTTCGGGGGTCGGGGGTTGGGTAGGGGCAAGGGTTTCCTTCGTTCGTTCGTGTGCTTAATGGAGTTGGGGGTTGGGGTGGTTGAGGGGTTGAGGGCTCAATCCCAAAGCCCTAGACCTGCACCGGCTACGAGCGTTCAAGCTCCCCCCTAAACCCCCAAGCCCCCCCCCCCCTAGCCCGCAAACCCCAAATCCTAAGCCCCTAAAACCCCAAAACCCTAAAACCGTGAAACCCTGAAACCCTAAAACCCTTAAAACCCTAAATCCCTAAAACCCTAAAGCCCTCAAACCCTAAAACCCTAAAGCCCTAAGACCCTAAAACCCTAAAACCCCTGAATCATTCGCGGTTGCACCCAGGTGGTCATCGACTTTATCGAGACCGACTTCCAACCGCTCAAGAGCCTTGATCAGGGTTTGGGAACTTAGGGTTTAGGGTTTAGGGTTTAGGGTTTAGGGTTTAGGGTTTGGGTTTAGGGCTAGGGTTTATAAGGGTCGGGGTTTCCCAATACAGGGCATATGGATTGTGGAGGTGCGTGTTTAGGGTTGGGGGTTTCGGGTTTAGGGAGGTTCAGGGTTCATGCCAGGTCCAAGGTTTGCAGAGCATGGATTCAAGCAATTGGGGCAGCTTATGATTTAACAAGAGCTTAGAGTTCACAAGAGTTTAGAGTTTAGAGTTCAGGGTTAGGAGGCATGCACGTAAAGCTGTAACGACAGCCATGCTGTGCGCTGTTGGGCAAGGTTGCCTCAACCATAAACCCTTCGTCCCTACACGCCAAACCGAGGTGCCCAACTCCAGAGAGAGTGCTCTCAGTGCATTCTGCACCCTTTCCTCAGAACCCGAAACCCGAAGAGCCCTAGATCCGAAGCCCTCATCCTTAACGATTTCTTAAAGATTCCGCTACTCAACCGTACATGGAGCACGGGGTGCCAAAGACCGCCGAATCCTACCCGAAGGGTCCATGTACCCATATAGTATATACTTGGGCCTTGAAGGGGTTCCTATACAGTAGCTTTAGGGCCCAAATGTGTACTATATGGGTAAGTGGACCCTTAGGGCTAGCAAGCCGGCAGCCCAAAGGAATGCGTTGGTCGACCACTGCCAGCAGTGGCAGAAGAAGCTCACCGACCTCCTGAACGAGAACGCACGCACAGAGATGAACAGGCCCCTAAACCCTAAACCCTAAACCCTAAATCCTAAAACCCTACACCGCTCGGTGGCTTAGGGGTTCGGGTTTAGAGAGCCCCTCAGAAAACCGGTGCCTCAGAAGCCATGTCGTCGGGCAGCTCTGTAAATCTTTTTTCCGGCATTCTGGGTGTGGGTTTCAGGGTTCAGGGTTTAGGGTTTAGGGTGCAGGGTTCAGGGTTTAGGGTTTAGGGTTTAGGGTTTTTGAGTGCAGGGCTTAGCGTTCCAGGATTGGGTTTGGGGTAGAAAGAACCCCAGCAGAGGCCAGATTTTCGAGAACTGGCCATGTGGTCTCTACATACACCATCAACCCGAGACGAGTGCTTGAACCGAGTTTCCGTCATGAGGATGTCGGCATGTTTATTTTTGCTCACTGGCTTGAGGTTAAGGACCATGCCATACTAGCTACACTTGACATATTGCAGCCCAAACTGGCCCAACCCTAAACCTTAAGCCCCAAAGCCAAAACCCTGTGAATGTACTTAGCTTGTCTTGAGGTCTTAAATTTCAGCCCCGAAAAGGGGTTCTCGGGTTTCGGAGTCTTCGTGCTTGTTCACGGGTAGAGTTTCAGGCTGCAGGCTTCTTGGACCTTGTTTAGCGGCCTTGGGACTGTGGGGTCAAGACGTTTTGGGTCGTAATGTTTGGAGTTTGCGGCTTTTAGCTGTTTGGGGTCTAGAGTTCTGCAGATTCCTTCAACCCTAAAGCCTGAATTTTAAGGGTGGTAGGGTCGCTGGGTTTAGGGTTTATGTAGGGCTAGGGTTCAGGGTTCAGGGTTTAGTGTTTAGGGTTTAGGGTTTAGGGTTTAGGGTTTAATGTGGGCCGCAGGCTTCTGGAGTACTTCGACACGAACACGAAGATCTTTCACTCTGAGATCCCTGATATGGCTTCTCGGTTCCGAAGCGCTTTTGATAGGATGTAATGGTTTAGGGTTTAGGGTTTAGGGTTTAGGGTTTAGGGTTTAGGGTTTAGGGTTTAGGGTTTAGGGTTTAGGGTTTAGGGTTTAGGATTGGGGTTTAGGGTTCAGGGTTCAGGGTTCAGGGTTTAGGGTTTGGGGCACTAACTCCTATGAAGCCTACATAGGCTTTACGGGTGTAGGGCTTTGGAGACGACCGGAGGCACTTGGCGCCCCGGTGACTCAGTGACTATTGCGGGGCTACTTGGGCCTATGGGGACTATCTTACTGCTTAACAATGCCCAAAAGCAGGAATCTTGCTGCTTACGCTGAAGGAAACGCTACCAAGCCCTACGAAAATCCTACGGTTCTCTAGGAATTCCTGCTGAACTTTACGAAATTCAGGCCTTCGACGTGTTTTGGGAATGTCTGGATCCCCAGCAGCCTGAGCAACAGGTTGGGTGAACCCTAAACCCTAAACCCTAAACCCTAAACATCTTCGAGGTTGAAAATTTGCGGTTTGAGGCCTCCGAGCCCCCGAAAGCGGGGAATCCGTGTTTTACGCAGTGCGAGGAGCTCCTAAGCCCTCGACCCTCAACCTAAACCCTAAACCCTAAACCCTAAACACAGTAACCCCCAGAAAGTTGGGACATTGTTTATGGACGATTCCTGCCGGGATTCCCCTTGGTATCTCTCTCCGGGGTAGCAGGATAATGGTGTTCCAACTGTTGGGACTTTGATGTAAGGCCTAGCCTTAAAGCCCAAAGTTCAACAGGCTCTGGATTTGGAGCTTGGCGCTTGAAGCTCCAGAGTGCCGAAGCCCAAGGTTCAGCTCACCCTGAACCCAAACCCTAACCCTAAACCCTAAACCCTAAACCCTAAACCCTAAACCCTAAACCCTAAACCTTAAACCCCAGGATCAGCTCAAGACGCGCATCGCCCTCCTTGAGCAGTGCCGCAAGGACGACTCCGACATGGAGAGCAAGATCAAGCTGCTTGGGGATGCAGTTGCAGGGTTTCTTCCTAGGCAGGATAAGGGGGACCCTTACAAGGGAACCCCTTCTTAACAGAGGGTCTATATCCCCAAGGGTCCCTCTACCAGTTGAGGGTTTCTAGGATGCCCAGTAGTACCCCTTATTCCCTTTTTTGGGGTTTAGGTTCCCTTATAAACCCGTTTAAGCTGCTTCGGGATGCAGTTGAGGGTTTCCAGGGCTACTAGCTTGTTCTGAGGGAGCCCAACAGGGACCATAGCAGGTGAACCCCGAGATGAGGGCTTTACACTTCCTATAGTCAGCTAGGATGCCCAGTAGTACCCTTATTCCCTTTTTTGGGGGGTTTAGGTTCCCTTATAAACCCCTTTAAGCAAAAAAGGGCACCTTTTTAAGCCTAGGTTACTGGGCATTTCCAGGGCTTTGGAGTACTATACTTTAATACTTTTTTTGGTTTTGGGGTTCCCATTATAGCTACTTATACCTAAAAAGTATATACGTTTTTGCCCGGGTCTACTCCAGAGGTAGGGGGTTTCTAGGGCTTCCCAAAGCGCCTTAAGCCCTACACCCCCAAGAACCAAGCCCTAGACTTAGCCCTATAAGCCCCATAAACCCTAAACCCTAAAACCCCGGGTGAGGCCCATTGAGGACAAGTACGCGAAGCTTGGCGAGTTCGAAGCCTTTTGAACTGCAAAAATCAGCGATTCGGGGTTCGGGGCCTTGTTTTGGGGGCTTTGGGGTGTAGGTTTGAAGGTTTAGGGTTTAGGGTGTAGGGTTTAGGGTTCAGCATCATTTTTTCATGGGGTTTAGGTTTAAGGAGGGATGGCTGCGTTTTGGAGTTCCGTCAGGTCGGCTTGGAGTTTTTTTTTTTTTTTTTTTTTTTTTTTTTCTGTCAGGTTGTTTTCGAGCTCTGCTTGGAAGAAACTTGCAATGTCTCAGGTCGTCCCATCCGACGAGGAGCTTTCGCGCAAGGCCACCAGACACATCTCGAGAAGCGTAGGGTTTAAGGTTTATGATAAGCCCTGAAGCCTAAACCGTAAACCCTAAACCCTAAACCCTAAACCCTAAACCCTAAACCCTAAACCCTAAACCCTAAACCCTAAACCCTAAACACAACCCAGCTGCTGGGATGCCCAGAAGTACCCGCCCTAAACCCTAACCCCTAAACCCTAAACCCTAAACCCTAAAACCCTAAACCCTAAACCCTAAACCCTAACTCTAAACCCTAAACCCTCTTATTCTCTATTAAATGTCCACTTCCTAGGTCGCTGGAAAACCCAGAAGGCGCCCTTATCCCTGAGCCTTGGGATTAGGGTTAAGGCTTAGGGGTTCAGGGGTTTAGTGCTCAGAGCCCTAAGCTCTGAACCCTAAACCCTAAAGCCTCAACCTTAAACCCTAAACCCTAAACCCTAAACCCTAAACCCTAAACCCTAAACCCTAAACCCCAAACCCTAAACCCTAAACCCTAAACCCTAGCCCTAAACCCTAAACCCTAAACCCTGAAGCCCTTCGACTTCTTTCGCTTCAGGCGCAGATGCGACCTGCCATGGAAACCTTCCGCGAGACGCTGGTGGAGGCTGAGATGCGCCCCCCGGACTGCTCTTGAGGGTTTCATAAGGTTTGCGGGGTTTAGGGTTTAGGGTTTAGGGTTTAGGGTTTAGGGTTTAGGGTTTAGGGTTTAGGGTTTGGGAGTTTAGTGTTTAGGGTTTAGGGTTTAGGGTTTGGGAGTTTAGGG